TGTTCTATTTAAAATCTGTTAAAAATCTGTTTTCCGTTAACCAGCTGTCGGACCCCTACGAACGACAACCCTCAGAAGTTGAAACTTGTGCGAGCTAAGGATTAACGAGGTCTTACCTTTTAACGTGTGATTCCTAACACGGGTTGGACGATAGCAAGTGAAGATAGATCGTACAGACTAGGGCTTGAACCATCGACCAACATGGCAGTCAATTCGAGTGAGTGAACAAATCACCCACGCCGAACCGCTTGGCTACCGACCGGATACGAGAGGTTTTCTATTTTTACCTTAAAATAACGATGTCAATTCCGTACCCACGCCACTGTTGGAGTTGAAAATTATGTTTTAATTGAAAGATATCAACTTTCTTCAACTGACACTTCGTATTTTTGTATTAAGGTACACCCTGTAGCAACTTCTGGTCTGAATAATACGTCTGTTTCAGTTTGTTTTTTTTTTTTGATCGTGCAGAATTAGTGAGAAACTGAAAGAATTACGCAAAACCATGTTAAATTGGTTGACTAAGTGGATCAAAAATATATAATGGAATCGGCCGATACTTAATGAAAATTCATAACGGATTCAAAAAACACTTCATTTTGGGTTTTTCTTTACACATTACATATATTTGTGATGCACTGTTTGGTACCTTTGGTCTAGTAATGAATCCCAACACCAAACCATTATTGTTACCACCTCGACACGAGTTTCGAACATTAAGTGATCATCTTCAAGATGACCAAGTGATAATCTTTCTCTTTAAGATGATCACATGTGAGGGTGTTGAAAATAACAGTTTGGTGTTGGAATAAAATCCAGTAATATTCTTTACTTCACTTCGAATAAGGGGCATACTTGAGGACTGGTTGTAAATCAAGTTATCTGAAAGAACAATTCGTTCAGGCCAGTCTCAACTCACTTAGGTTAGGTTGGGTCCAAAGTAAGTGGGTCTATTCGAGTCGCAACCCGCAAGGGTTTATTGTGGCCTATCTATTCACCCTCGACCGAATAAACCCAATTTCTTAACGAAGCCGATTAGTTTGTATGGTGAGTGGTCTTTCAGGTCAGATGGTAAGAGTACCTCTACTCTAGTCCAACAACTGTTTGGTATCAAGCTTCCAAGGGTGAATAAACGCCTTGGAGTGAGCCAATCCTGGAATATTCTGCCAGAAATCCATATATCTTCTTGCCATCCAGGTGTTCAATCTTTGTTTGGCAAATCCCAAAGCGATGCCAACCACAGGTTCTGGTCCGATGAAGCCGCTTGCAGAAACCTCCTTTGCAAGGGAGTCAGCAGCCTCATTGTCTTCCAGGCCAGTATGGCCAGGAATCCAGACCAAAGACAACCTGTTAACTCTTCCCATCATCCATCCATCCCATCTGGCAATTTGCTACCAATTATGACGTTGCTTTCAAAGCCGCTTGACTGTCCGAGAATATTTTTATTGACTTGTGTATGAGGTTGTATTTTTCCAATCAGAAAACAACTACTCCCCTGGCTAATACCACGAATAGAGCGGATTATCTCCGACAGGTCAGTGCACAGAAGTAATTCCTGCATATGCTGTTGGCGATACAACTGACGAAATCGATTTTCAGTTATTGGAAATAGCACACTTCCAGACCGTTTTCGGGCTATCTGGCTTCTCGTCAGTGCAAGGCAGTGTTCATCATCGACATGAAGTCGATGATTTCACATAATCAAAAATCCCGATAGCCATCTTGATTTCGGAGAGGTTGGAGCCTGGCTCCCTTACCCTTTGGACTGATGTTCGTCAGGAAGACGAATGGGTCAAGACTGATTTGAAGGATGACGGCATGAATGTCCTCAGACATCAGTACTGCCCTTCACGTGGACCCCTACCTGGCTGGGGTGTTAAGATGAAGATATAATTAATTTTTTAACGCGGGAAATAATGAAAAATCTAATTCCTTTCAAAGTATCGTTTTTCGGACAATGCTGAAGTGAACGACAAACAACGTAATTCTCATCGCCCCATCTGCCCGTGAACGAGTTAACCAACTGCATATCCGAACTGCCCAATTCCTTGTAAGAGGAAAAACAATATGGCAAATCATTAGTGGAGGAATTCGTCCACAGAAGATAAGTCATCCCTGTATGGAATTATTATCGGTAGTTCGCTAGTATGAATATAAAGGACTCATATACTATTCTCAACGGATTTTGAAAAAAACATTCCATCTTCATACATAACCTTGTGAAAAATTGAAAACATTGTAATTGAAATCCTTGTGGATTTTGACACATATAAATCAATTACACAGTTTTGAAAAAAATTTTTTCAGGTTTGGTGGTGTATGATGGAGTGAGAGATCAAGCTTGGAGATTATCGCATCCTACTATGTTTCCTGATCCAAATTTCTCAGATTACAATATAGGCGGGGAAAGCTTCACGTTGATGGATGGTATTATTGGAATAACCCACTCTCCCAAACTGGCTACGGTGTATTTCCAACCTTTAGCCACAGATAGGTGAGTTTTCTCCAATGCAATAAAAGAAGTTAGATACAGAAATGCCAGAACATTCAATAATTTTCTGAAGACAAACACAATAATATCGATATTTCTAAAAATATTCCATTTTATCTATCAAATGGCAATTTGGAGAATCTTTTCATTAATTTAAACGTTAACAGGTTTACATACACTTCCATTATTAAAATTTCTGTGATATCAACATGAAAATGTCTAATACGTTTTTATTGCGTTTTGTGTTATTTGGATCTCATGTATGATTAATTATCCCTTCCAATCCATTTTTTGCACGTGTTTCTCAGATTTAGTTGTCACAAGTGAGTGTGATTTTACTTTGAATCACAAATGAATCAGAAACTCTTTATACGCTCCAATGTTGATTATTTGTATTGTTCCTATTGGTCAATCGAACAAGAAGGCGGGACTAGGCATGTGAGATCATGGGCCTAGAAAATCGAATTTTTAATAGAAAATCGAATTTTTAATAATTAATTACGGGAAAACAACAGTATTTAGAGAGCTGAAACAAAGTATACTATTAATCAATTTCAAATTACTATCAAATGAACTGTGAACCACAAATCATGAAACAAGCCCATTCGAAGACCAGTTCTGACTAGGCTCAT